TATTGTGTAACATCTCAGGTGAGTTATCAGATGTGTTTGGATGTCGTGTAACATCACAAGTATAAAATTTGTAATTTTTTTTAATAAAAACTCGTGTTACGGAATAGGATAATTATGTCTTTATGAAGTGTGACACTCTTGCATTGGTGAATATTTAATTAATTTATTCATAAATTATACGTGGAGTTTAGAAGAATATTACACTCATCATATTTTGTATTAGTACTGAATATAGAGTTCGGCATGTTGCGGCATTTTGTACCACTCCTAGAAGATCGCAAAATCAGAAGAAGAAAAATAGCAAAAAAATAAATGAGATTTGCCACTTTAAATTGTCATTTTCAATTGTTTTTTCTTGTAATATACACTATTAATTTAATACGGTTTTTAATTACTTTAATAATTTTTTATTCATTTTTGTTTGCTTTCAAAAATCTACTTATTTAAAAAAAATACTTGAAATTGTAGAAATGATAAAATAGGAAAATTACATGTTTTTGTTTATCTATTTTTTAATACAATTAAATAAAATTTAAATAATAAAAAAACAAGAATAAGAATACAACAAAAATAAATCAAATTGAATCCATTATATTTAATGATTTTTGATTTGTTTTATTATTTCTATACATGTTGTAAATAAAATAAAAAACATAATTGCAATTTAATTATTAATAAATTATATATATTTTTAATTTCAGATTTTTTTTAATAAAAATATTAACCTAAATAAATTATATTAAATGAGTATTTTAACTAAATAAAATAAAAAATAAAATATTCTTATCAAAATTCAAATCAGAAAGATGAAAACTGAGAAGAAGAAAAATAAACAAAGGAAAAAATGTATTGCTTGTTATTCAATAATAAAATTTATGGGTGAAATCATTATATTTGGAAAAAATATATATAATATTAATAAATATTTTTAATAAGAATTTATTATTATATTTTCAGTAAGAATTTATTAGAACTTTGAGAAACCAAAAATAAATCAAATTGAATCCATTATATTTAATGATTTTTGATTTGTTTTATTACTTTTATACATGTTGTAAATCACAAAGAAACATAATTGCAATTTAATTATTAATAAATTATATATATTTTAATTTCAGATTTTTTAAATAAAAATATTAACTAAATAGATTATATTAAATGAGTATTTTAACTAAATAAAATAAAAAATAAAATATTCTTATCAAAATTCAAATCTGAAAGATGAAAAATGAGAAGAAGAAAAATAAACAAAGAAAAATAAAGGTATTGCTTGTTATTCAATAATAAAATTTATGGGTGAAATCAATATATTTGGAAAAAATATATATAATATTAATAAATATTTTTAATAAGAATTTATTATTATATTTTCAGTAAGAATTTATTAGAACCTTGAGAAACCAAATTATCATTTTTTATATTATTATGTTTTTCATTTATTGTCTTTCCTATTAATTTCTGTAAATGTCAATTAATAAAGATGTATAAAGACACAAAGAGTAAGTTTCAACTATAATTTTACATCAGTCAAAAAAAATTATTTTTATAATATTTTGTCACAGTATTTTAAAGAATAAATCTTATATACCTACAACATTTTCTTCTCTTTAAGTTAGGATATTTAAAAATAATAATTTTTATTGTACTATTTAGTGTGAGTTTGCTTCAAGTTATAAAATAGTATTTCTTTGAATTCTATTCTCCAGATTATTATTCTTAAGAATAATATTTTAATGTAAGTGTTTGATTAAAAATTAAAATTCTTAAAAATATTTATAATATTTATTTAATTTAAAAATTATAAAAAATAAAAATTAAATTAATTGTGAATAGTAGTGAAAAGTTATATAATTAATTAAATTTTATTTCCATAAAATGTTGGATTACCTCCATTAAGCATGAAAAGAATTTAAACAAAAATAATGCGTAAAAATGTTGCTTAGAATAAATCATATCCAATAATAATTTTTAAAAACTTGAAATAAACGTGAATTTTTTGTTTTACCAACGTGAAATTTTCAGAAATGCAATTTTAATTCTTGAAACAAACACACCTTTAGATTTAAGAAATTATCATAATAACCTTTTTTTTTTGCGAGAGAGAAAATACATCTATATTAAAAATAAGTTTTTATGAGATTTCAAAATTTACAATAAAATATTAGTATTATTTTATATAATTTATACTATAGAATCATTATTATAATGATGATTATAAATTATTTACTTTGATTTTCTATAATATTTACTTAAGTTGATTTTTTAAAGTTAAATTTATATTTATTTACAAATGAAACTATCTTATTATATGTTTATCTAATTTTATAAGATGTTTATTTTAGATCGTGACTTTGAAACTTTTTATGAAAGTCAAATGTAATTTTAGATTGTGATATTAGTTATTGATTTTGTAATACACTCATCTGAGTTTTTTATATTTGTATATTTTATGAAATTTCAAATATGTCATTATTATAATATTAATAAATTTTATCTCTCTTTAAAAAATTATTTATATATTCATTTTAATATCATTTACTATTTATAATTTAATTACATTTATTTATCTCTTTTTAACAAATAATTATGAGTGTTATTAATAAAAGAATAATTACTGTTTCATTTATAAAAGAAAACCAAATTAAAAAATTTATTTCAATATATTTAAATATTGACATAAAAAATTATAGAAACGAAAACCAATTTTAAAAATTGGTAAATGTACAAATAATTAATTGAGATATTAAAGTGGAATGAAAGTCATTAAAAAGAAAGAATGAACATATTAGAAAACCAAATTTTCAAATATAAGACATTAAACATACTTAAGAATAATATTGAAACATACAATAAAAATATAAGTCACTTATAGAAACTATTACAATTAAATATCTGTCTCATTTATTAAAATTTTATGCAATTAATAAAATAGTTAAACGAATCGGTCTCATTAGTGTAATTACGAAGAAAAAAATATTACTGATTCAAATACGACAAAAATATTTGCTAATTATAGAAATTTATATATAATTAAAATAATAATTAAATAAATATTTGTCAATGAGGTAAATAACGAGTTGGCGTGCCAGCCCGCCAATTTTTTATATTTTTTTAATTTTATAATTTGATTTAATACATGATTTAGAAAAATTTTAATTATTACCAAAGAGGTCAATAATAAATTTTTTTTAATAAAACATAATAGAACTTCATGATGTCTTAGGTTCAGACGCTTCAAAAAATTTAATAAATAAAGACCAATTACAACAAAAAAAACTCAAACACAATAAAAAAATATCAAAATAAATAAATAATACATATCATCCTAATCCTATTTAAAAACTAACTACTAAAAGAACTCAATTTAGAATTTACACAAAACCAACAATGATAACAATGGCAGTACATAAAGTATCACAATGCAAAATAGTAATATGTAAAATATCAACACCGAACTTTCTCACTGTTTACATTATATAGACTCTTATATTGTCCGATTATTTAATAATTAAATCTTAAATTTGTCACACGTATACACTAATCAAATGCTTCCTTTTCTTAAAATCAACATCTATTTCTACAGAAAACATGTGAGCTAATATATTGAAAACTTAATAATTATGCATGTCATACATTTGTTCTTTTTTTGAAATCATTTTCAATCAATGTATGTATTAGAAAATTATAGAAAGAACGTTATAATTATAATATAATTTGTTTGTATAATAATTTAGAATACAATCCTAAGAGATAAGTCTTGTTGTTATAGTTAAAGTCGTTTTAATTCTTAATAAAAAGAGTAAAAGTTTTAACAAAAAGCTTGCGGGGAAAACCCGCTCCGCCTCGCCTCGGTCCGCTTTTCTAAACTTAGGCGGGGTGGACCAACTTAAATTACCGAGCCAAAAACCTCAACCCAATCCGCCAAAAATGACGACTCAAACGGACCAACCCAACGGGCCCAATCTGTTTAGCCACCCCTACCCACCCCCTTACCCGCACAACATATATTTATATAGTTTTACTTTTATTAATGTATACACATGTATGCTTATCAATTTTATGTAATACATCACTATTAAAATTGTACGCATTTAAAAAAAATTCTTTGTTTATTTTTTAACTCAACAACAACAATCTTGAGTTTATTAAATATTGATAAAAACTTAGAATGTCATGATAAATTATAATTGATCGATAATTTTTTATTAGAAATGCGGATAAATAGGTACGTGTACGGATATTTAAGTACTCATAGAGTACGGAAACGAGTATAAATAAGTTTTTAAAAAATAATAAATTTTATTGGTTAAATAAGTTTTTCTTTCTTTTATTTCATTTTTATTATATTTTAGAAACAAATACACATAACATATCAATTGTCGTGTGAATGCATGAATATCCCAGTAATTTTATAATTTAAAGAAAAAGTTATTTTAACAAATTTGTTATTTGATGACATGATTAACAAAATTTCTTTAAGGGTGACTGAAATAACTCAATTGTTATGTGTTAATTGAAGTGCAAATAATTTCTTTTAGGACTTAATCTCTAAAAACAACATTTTTTTATATTTCTTTAAGGCCCTTTTTAGCTAGCACTTTTACTTTTAATAAAGCGCTGTTTTTTTCTACAGTAGCGCTGGAATAGACAGCGTTTTAAAGAAAAAAATGTTGTCTAAAGTCTTGTTTGACGTAGTTATATTAATATAAATACATTATTAATATTTATAAATCAATAGTTTTTAAAAATATAAATAAAATTTTCTAAATTTTTTTTCCATAACAAAAGGCTCTAAATCTCATAGCCTTAAATTCTCAATGGCCAACTTTTTGACTTGATTTAAATTCATTAATCACTTATGTTTTTAATATTTAAGATGTTTATACATAATTCAAATTTTATGTATTTCTCTCCTTAAAACCTCCTATAAATATATTGCTTTCCTTCTTTCATATATCAAATACTAGTCACTTTAAAATAAAAGATTAATCAAAGGCACAATGCCTCCATTTCACCAAAAGGTTATCCTTCTATGTGTGTTAATATTGTTATCGGGGCATAATGTTCTTGGAACTCATGAGAATATTATTAATTGTTTGGAAGGAAATTTGGATTTAATTGTTCATTGCAAATCTAAAGATGATAATCTTGGTGCTCATCTTTTACATTATGGTGAAACCTTTGGTTGGAAATTTCAACCTAAAGTTGTTTTTGGCCATACAGTATTCTTTTGTGGTTTTACATGGAATGGTAAATTACATTGGTTTGATGTATACGATGGTGATTATCTTAAAGATGATTGTGATGAATGCATTTGGAAAATATTCAAATCAGGACCATGTAGAAAAGAAGATGATGGGCAGTCTACTTGCTTTCTGTGGAATAAGCAATAAATAATTTAATACATATTTATATATTAATAAAGGTTATTCTGAAAGTATAGAAAACTTGATGCATTGTTTTTAATCTTTTTAGTGGAATTATATATATATATATATATATATATATATATATATATATATATATATATATATATATATATATATATATATATATATATATATATATATATATATATATATATATATATATATATATATATATATATATATATATATATATATATATATATATATATATAATCTGAGTAGGAGAGAACCACAATGAACCATAAAGTTGTTCTTCAAAAAATTTAACAATGTTATACATATAATATTAGATTCGAACTTAAGACCTCTATTTAAGTTGAAAGAAATTTTTTATCATTATTTATCTATGAAATAAGCCAAAAAAATGATACAGTACTATACTATTTGTTGTTTATTCCACATAAAGCAAATAATTAATATAAACCATATTTACATAATATATATATATATATATATATATATATATATATATATATATATATATATATATATATATATATATATATATATATATATATATATATATATATATATATAGACGGAGTTTCATAATTTAATTTAATGTTTTACTTTCACTACAATAAACACTATAAGAAATATGCTCTCCAGCGACATATTTTTGTGACGTGATTATCATGTCATAAAAATTTAGCATTTGTGACATGATAATCACGTCACTATGTTATTTTAACATTTAAATAATAAAAATAAGGTTTGGTCTGTGCCAGTCAGAATTTTTTTGTATAAAAAAATTGCGACGTGGGAAACACGTCACAACATAAAAAGTAGAATAAAAATATATAAAGCATCAGGTATTTTGAAGGGGGGATTTTGAATTTTTTTTTAAAAATGGCTGTGACGTGTTTAACACGTTGCAAATTTTTAAGAGGAAAAATTCCTGACTTTGACATGAAGTGCTTCTGAAACGTGCATGTTGACTGAATAAAAAATATAACTGTTGTCGGGGTTGCAACGTGAATCTCAGTGGCAAGGTTGTGACGTGAAATTCACGTTGCTAATTGGTTGATGTTTAAATTATAATGTTGGGGGTTACGACATTGCGACGTGAAATTCACGTCGCTGATTGGTTAATAAAGATATCTCACTCTCTCTTTCTAGAAACCCATATGTGTTTCTTCTACTTTCTTTTCTTCTTTCTCTCTTCTGTCGATCTTCTTCCATTCCAATTTAGTGCATATTCTTCATAATAACATCCAAATTCAATTCCAAATTTCATTTGTAACAAAGGTAAGTTGTCTAATATTTCTTGAATATATTTTGAATATTTTCGTTTTAGAATAATACTGTTTTGTGATGTTGATTTATGTTTTTTTTGTCAAGAAATTGAAGAGATTAGAAGGAAGATTGAACAAAAGAGTTATACAAGAAGTTAAAATGAGATTGAAGAATATATATTTATGTTATTTAATTATAGTTTGAATTTGATATATATATATATATATATATATATATATATATATATATATATATATATATATATATATATATATATATATATATATATATATATATATATATATATATATTGACGAAGTCTCTTAATTTAATTTAATGTTTTACTTTCACTACAAGAAATATGCTCTCCAGCAACATGATTATGTGACGTGATTATCATGTCACAAAAATTTAGCACTTGTAATGTGATAATCACGTCACTACGTTATTTTAACATTTAAATAATAAAAGTAAGGTTTGATATGTGTCAGCTAGATTTTTTTTGTATAAAACACTTGCGACGTGGGAAACACGTCACACCATAAAAAGTAGAATAAAAATATCTAAAGCGTCAGGCGTTTTGAAGGAGGAATTTTGAATTTTTCAAAAAAATTGATTGTGACGTGTTTAACACGTCGCAAATTTTTAAGAGGGAAAAACCCATGACTTTGACATGAAATGCTTCTGAAACGTGCATATTAACTGAATAAAAAATATAATCGTTGTAGGGGTTGCAACGTGAATTTCACGTGACAAGGTTGCGACGTGAAACTCACATTGTTGATTGGTTGATGTTTAAATTATAATGTTGGGGGTTGCGATGTGAAATTCACGCCACTGATTGGTTAATAAAGATATCTCACTCTCTCTTTCCAGAAACCCATTTATGTTTCTTCTACTTTCTTTTCTTCTTTCTCTATTCTGTCTATCTTCTTCCATTCCAATTCAGTGTGTATTCTTCATAATAACATCCAAATTCAATTCCAAATTTCATTTGTAACAAATGTAAGTTGTCTAATATTTCTTGAATATATTTTTAATATTTTTGTTTTAGGTTAATCCTGTTTTGTGATGTTGACTTATATTTTTTTGTCAAAAAATTGAAGAGATTAGAAGGAAGATTGAACAAAAGAGTTATACAAGAAGTTAAAAGGAGATTGAAGAATAGGTATTTATGTTATTTAATTATATTTCGAATTTGATATATATATATATATATATATATATATATATATATATATATATATATATATATATATACTAATTCATTTTTTTATATAAATTATATATTAAAAGTAGAATATATTATATATGTGTATTTAAAATAAAATAAATAGAATATAATTATATTTTATATTTCTAAAAAAAATAATATCTTTGTTAAAAAAATATTGTTAATATATATTCAATATATTTATTAAACATTTAGTTATATGTATATATATATATATATATATATATATATATATATATATATATATATATATATATATATATATATATATATATATATATATATATATATATATATATATATATATATATATATATATATATATATATATATATATATATATATATATATATATATATATATATATATATATATATATATATATATATATATAGTTTCAAAATAGTTATAAAATTTAATTATAGTTACTATATTTAAATGTTTATTTATAGTTAATAATAAGACAATGATTGTATAAATGTGTAGTATGAAATATTATCGGTATGATCGTAGTTGGATGTACAATAAATTGTATTCATGAAGACGTGCACTTAAACCCGATATTATAGAAGGAGTTAATGAGTTTATCACGTGGGCGTTTGCTCAGGAATATTTTTGAAGCGAAGGAGGAGTCAGGTGTCCCTGTCTTAAATGTGAATGTAGACCAATAATCAGTGACCTGGAGGAAGTAGCATGTCATTTGCATAGCAGGGGTTTTATTGAAAATTATTGGGTTTAGACGTATAATAGTGAAGAAATGTCGAGTAACGTATCAGAGACTAGCAACACGCATGCTTCAAGTAGTCGACCACCTATGAAATATGAGAAAAATTTTAATCTGATCGGTGAGATGGTTGAGGATGCTTTTGGTGTGAACGTGACATTTGATCAACATGAATATTTTGACGGGAAAGAGTTGTCAAATAAAGAAGCGCAAAGATTTTATCAGTTGTTGAATGAGATAAATACGTCGTTGTTCGAGGGGCCGTCAGACTCAAAGTTATCAATGTGTGTGAGATTATTGGCTGCCAAGTTAAATTGGAATATTCCTAATCAGTGTTTGGAACATTTCACAAAAATGATGTTGGACTCCACCGCAACGAAAGACAACTTGCCTGAAATTCTGGCAACAAATACTTAATGTAACAGTGAATATTATGACACTGTATCTGACAAATTGTACACAAACCAAACAGTAATTTAAAAGACAGTAAAGAACACAATCAATTGTTAACCCAGTTCAGTGTATAACAACACCTACATCTGGGGGCTACCAAGCCAGGGAGGAAATTCACTATAAGAGGTATTAATTTAGGAATAAACCAACCAGTTTATCTCCTTCACTTAAGACCTACCCAATGCAATTCAATCTAAGTCCTACTTAAACCTGAGTTCATACTCACTCCCCCTCAATCACAACAGTGATACTAATCTACTAATTAATAAGATTATGAAGACATTCTTCAATACACACGCTTGATTTTGCTTCAAAGCTTTAATCAAGAGACACAACACTCGTGCTTCAAAGCTTTGAGTGATAAACAACCCTTACAACCAAATCCTACTCCAAGTCACTTATTAAGTGATAATTGCTTGGCTCACAGTAGTTACTAAAACTATCACCACTACACAATGCCTTATTGATCTTCTTTAAAAAGCGCTGCACACCATTAGGATTCATGAGAAATATATATATGCAGTCTATTCTTCATTTTGGGCTTCCATAAAAATAGCTAGGGTTAACCAAAGTTAACCTAAAGACTTGGTCTTGGGCTTTCATCATAACAGATTAGGGTTAAGCAAGGTTAACCTAATATCCACGTGAGCATCTGATCTAGTCAATATACTTCAACTCAGAATAGCACACCAGATTCCTGAAAATTCTCAGGAATAATAAATCTGCACAACAACTTGATCAGTACATGATGTCTTAACATTGGTTATGACATCATGTATCATGCTCACTGATTTTGGTAGAATTAAGTACATATGATCATAGCTTAATCATCTTGATATTCACTCATACTGAGTTGTTCCTGTAGAACATTCCTTCTGTAGAATTTGTCTTTATCCCAGAATTTTATGAGATCAGTCATGACATTCGCAAATCTGGTTTTACCAAAAATTAATGCCAACAAGCAAACACTTACAAACTCCCCCTTTGGCAAATTTTTGGCTAAAACCCCTAAACAATCAGAGATTAGAATGCAGCAGAATTTCTAATAACAACTAATCTAACTACCAATATCCAATTCTACCAAAATTACCACAATTACTTCTCCCCCTTTTTAGCCATAAAAAGGTCAAAGGATCTAGTACTTCAAGTTATACAGTCATCAAAAGGAAATTCAAAATACATAGAAACAGAGAGAAGGTATGGAAAACTTGACCACTGTTTTCATCAGGCCAGCAGCCTTGATGAGATCCATGAGTTCCTTACACTCAATAGCACTTCTGTTAAGCTCCCTCTCTAAGGCAATCCTTTTCAGAAACA